TTCGAGGAAAAATACACTGCTCTAGTTGTTTGGAATCAGGCTCAACAAATGTCTTCATCAAGACAAAAAAGGACATAAGATAATTTAAGTTCCCACTAGAACTGAAGTCTCTTCATCTCAGTTTATAGTGAACGCAGAAAATTCTCAGAAAAGCAACAAGATAAAGTAATGTTTTATTCAATAACGCAGTATGAATCGAAGAGCTAGTAAAGTGACACAAAACGACCAGAGAAAAGCGATTCCAAACGCTAATGATTGCACTCGCTAATACACAAAATAAGGTTGGCAGGCTACATCCCACCAAACTGTGTATAAATAATATATGTGTCTATATGTAATGGCACAACAAAATTTGTTAGTTTCAGGTCATTGTGATCTTTGTTTGGCGACGTCTTCGACTCGATGCCGTTGGGTTTCCAATATGATTTTGCAAAACAAAGGCATCTGTTTCTAGTTTGTCAGTGAAATTACATTTACATAGCAAGTGCAATGCAGCTTAACATCAACTTACCGAAACATAACAATGCAAATATTAAAATCTGGCCCGATTTCCAGGGAAATAAGTCGCACGTCGGAGTTCGATCATTTAAATTTTGAAGTTAGAAGTCGGAAGTCGGAATTCGGAACTCGGAACTCGGAACTCAGAAGTCAGAACTCAGAAGTCCGAAGTCGGAACTCAGAAGTCGGAACTCAGAAATCCGAAGTCGGAAGTCGAAAGTTGGAAGTCCCTCCTCGGCTTTCGTATGTAGCATATCTCAAAAACATTCAAAAACGAAGCGCACATAATTATTGTAGGTGGGAACCAAAGTGCATACATTACACTTTTTTCTTCACAAGGCTTTACCTGACACGATTTGCAGTTTTCTCCTCTTTCCCAGCCACAGTCTGTGCCACATTTGCCATAAAAGGGTGGATGCCCAGATAACATGATGTAACTGCAGAAAAAAAAAACAGAATCTTAATTCTCCATACATTGTCAAATACTTTCTTGAGCTGAATAGTGATGAGAATAAAGAAATCCATCAGCTAGGAGATATGATCCAGATGTACTACAAATTCTCAAAAATTGCGTTAAAAGAAATATATAGTCTGACTTACAGAATCACTCCAAGACTCCACAAATCACATCTTTTGTCATATGTTGTAGCCTGGGTCTTGAAGGCATCCACTACCTCAGGAGCCATGTACTCAGCTGAGCCAACCTACAGAAATAATAAAGAAGTACAATGACATGTACATGGTAAAGGTAAAGTCTGCGTACGAGCCAAGTGGCCCATCAGGCCGGAGCTTATCCCGG